GAAATCTTTTTGTGGTCGATACATCATTATCTGCTCTATCGCATCTAAGGTCAGCTCTCCTGTGCCACTCCAAGGCGCCAGCGTTAATCCCACCCCCTTCACGTCAAAAAACGATTTTAAAAGGGTTCCTTTGCTTCAACTCTCCTCTTACATGAGCAGTTTGCACTACAGCAATAGGCTAATATCTACCAACGCATATTGGACAATCATGGAAGTCGGAAGAGGCACATTCTCCTCGGAGCATTGCGTGATCTTGCGGTCTTCTAAAGAAACTATTTGTCTAATTAACTTGCTAGTGATTTTGCAGTCATGAAACCATCATTTGCGGCAAAACCTGAGAAACTAATGGCTTCGATAAGCTGAAGAGAACTATGGGTGACAAGCATTATGCAAATGTCAGATTTCGTGGTTGCCGAGCAGTTCCACATAAAGCTGCAGAGAATTAAAATCTTTCTTCTTTTAAAGCAATCATAATCTCCGAGGGCTGTGAAGAACTCCTAGAATGGCTTAAAAGAGCAGCAGTGAGAATATTTGGTCTGCAACTTTATGACTACAAGAAAGCCGCTGGCCCTCCTCTGCAGCATCGCACTTCCATGCCTGCGTCCATGACCTCATTATTAACCGACTCCTCTGTGACAGGGTCATTGTCAAGGCTTAAACAGCGATCAGTCTCTGAAACTTGCCTTCCCTTCCTCACAATTGGTGGTGTAGACTGCGCTGACACCTTCGATCTCAGCGCTTTGAACGCTGCGGTGTCGAAGATGGATGATTTAACACTGCAAATGGAGAATAAACAGTCCTTCCTCCAGGAGTTGAAAGTATGTTTCGTGCCAATTCCTCCTTTTTATCCTCAGAGCCGTTTCTTATATCCTTTCATTTTAGTTCTTAATGCGTTTTGGCCAAAACTTTTATGGTTGAATTTGTGCCAGCTTTAATAGCCTGATTACTTGCTCATTCCCCTTTATTCGTATAGAAATAGACCAGCCTGGGGAGTTGAAGCTCAGGTTATCATTAGCAAAACTCCGTATGGTGGTCCATTTGATCCCAGTAGATCACTTATATTCTGCTCACTCTCTCCCTTGCTTAGTTCATGGATTACCACAAAAGCCATTAAAAATTTGCAATGCTACAAGTCCTAGCCCAAATCTTCTTTTCTCACAAATTCTTTCCTAGTTATCCGTTAGTGACAGAGGAGCTCAGTATCACAGAAAACAGATTATATTGTGTTCCCGGAAGTCGTAATAACCGTAGTATTAAAAATTGAAGAGGTCTTTTCAATGAGGTGGGTGCTCTCAGAATGCAAACGGACGCATGCAGATGATTCTCCTTCCGCATTTGTAAAAATGAAACTGCCAACAAAGGAAAGGGGACGTTTACTTCCCACATGGCATTCCGACCTTTGCGTTAAAGCCTCTTTTAATATTGTCCTTCGTGGATACTCGAAGCGACTTGGGCTTACTTAACCACACAAGCTGCGGCGTGTATCTGCCCGTTATGTGGTTGAGTCCGATTTTGTTTGCTAGGTAAATAAGTGTGAATAATTGGACATTATATCCGATAACCATTAAGTTAAGAAATAAAAGCTTTAAAGTTGTCGAAGTTGTTCTCCATGTTGTTAATGCACAGGGCTACGAAGCTTTTCTGTACACTTTTTAGCAGCACTACCAATGCCTGATTGAGAACACGGACAAATTTGCCCAGCATGAAGCGAAGTTGCAGCATGTCGAAACCCAATTTGGCAAAGTGAAAAGATGGCTCTCTAGTTGTGCTCGTAGTGTCAACACCCATCGGGAAGTCATTAATGCGCTACGGTGAGATAAACTCGAAAATGGAAGAAATTACTTTCTTTGTATGTCAGTCGATGAGAAAGTAAGTCGATCCTTTGCCATTAATCCAACAGCCCAATTTTAAAGCGCTTATACAAAGAACCAAATTCGAAGGAGATGAAGGAGGTAGTCGTGCATTATGTTGTCATTCAGTTAAGTCGGCCATCTGCAGTTTCTTTGAGCACGTCTTTGTGGTATGTCCAGCAGTCTCAGATAAGTGGACAGGCAAAAAAGAAGTCATGAATCACTCCTTTGAAAGCAGGGCTTTATTGATAATGCCCTTAAGGTAAACGGAAAATGTCGATTCAAGTGATATTTAAAATGTGTCTTTTTCTCACCGGACATCAAACATTGAACAGTACCTGATATCCGATGAGATGTTTCCAGAAATTCTTCCATTCGGTTAAGTGCGTCTAACTTATTCCATAATTGTCACTCCGTTCGATTTGGTGAGCTGTCATGAAAGGTTCATCACCAGCTGAGGGTAGCTCAACATGCACAATGGTTATTGTAGAGCAACAAATGTATTGAGTATTGCGTTAGAAGCTAGCGTTTGATGTGTTTTGGACAGAATTCACAAACTTCAACCATTGTAAAGAAAAGAAGGGCTTAGAAACCATGGTGATGCTATGGTGTTTGCTAAGCCATGAGACTGGTGTTAGATCATCTGCCACCCATTAGGGAATATCGCTCGACAAAATAAACTTTATCTACAAACATTCTAAGTTCTAATAAGTTGTTTATGATAACATTTTGAGAAATCTTGCAAGCTATTTCAGAAACTGGCAATTAGAACACGGTAAAAAGCTAGATTTGTTTAAATTACAATAAGTGTACTTTCTTTCTCCCTTAGAGAGCAGAACTACAATTTGAAGAGGAAAATGTTTAATGTCTTTCTTTAGTCCTTGCATTATTGCAACAATTCAGGTATTGTCCTTATTACTCTTAGCAAATAATTACATTATCTTCACTCACCCATTTCTTGTTCGCACTGACGTTCAGTTAAGTTTCGGACAGTGCATTTGGAATGCAGGGAATCACAAAACCAAACCTACGTTTAAGACCGGCTTGTAGTGTATTCCTCTTATTAATTACCTCATTTGTGGGAAAATCTGGAAACCTCACTTAATCAAACGTGGACAATTTACCTAGTTATTTAATATATGCGACTCGTTGGCTGTCTGTAATACTGCAGACACTTCTACCAAATCATTGATTAGCAGCAAATTGTCGAATTTTCTAGTCAAACTTACGAGTTATAAGTAACTTTACTTACATTTAAGCATTATTGATAAGCTGATCAGCATCCAACTTCAAAAGTCATACCCGCCAAGAAAGTATAGAGCCACCTCCGTTTAAATCACAAAATTTGCTGGCCGAATCCAAATCAAGAATTACATTAAAATATTCTGCAGTGGGATAGCACACTTACAGGGCTTCCAAAAGGGTGACAGCTATGGATCAGAGGGTGGAAAATTAAAGGACAATATAAGCCTAAGATGGAGGAAGGAAGGATAGAGAAGATGAGTAGTTACCAACTGGCTTAACATTATCTCTAAGCTGCGCCGACATCTCAGATATGCGCATACTTTATGGGTTTGCCTATGTTGAATGAAAGGCGCCGCTCAGCCCTGACCTACGATTCAGTGGAGACTGAGTTGCGGGAGGCACGGGAATTTCTCACCAATGTTTAGCTTTTACAAAGCAGAAAGTTAAATACTTTGAAATCTTGTGTTTTTCTTTTTAGTCTTACCAAAAAGGCATGTGTTTTGCTTTTTATCAAGAAGAATATGCAAACAGTGGGTAAATTTGTTCTATTTTTACCCATTTGTAGGACTCTTGAAGATGAGAACCAGTGGATAGCGCAGAAACAGACTCAGCTGAGTAATGACAACATGGCGCTCTCCTTTTTGGAAGTCCAGAAATTGCTCAGTAGGCATCAAACTGTTACTGCTGAGGTGGAGCACCGGACTGTCAGGAATTCGTCACTTATAAAAGTATGGCTTCCTTTTTTGCCTTTTAAGCATCCCAATAAACAACTGTTGTAGGAATAACTAGAATGCGGCAGGCTGTTATTATCAAATGCTGTCAAAGCAGGAATACTTATGAGCTCGACTGTTTATTGAATCATACTTCATTTACCTGTTACTTCTGTTTGAAGATAAGTGAAGGAGAGAAGAGGAGATCGGTATGCGGGTGTTGGAAGGACTAAGAGGGATTTGTGGATAACGAGCTAGTTTAAAATATTTTTACTGGTGCTCTTTATTCCAATGCAAAAATATTTTGCTTTAATGGCGTTTGTCACTGGAATCCAAAACTTCTTGCTTGATTATTAAATTTTCCTCATCGACTATAAGCTCCGCATGTTTGTTAGTCAACTTTGGTAGGCAAAATGGAAGAGTCAAGATAGGGAATGTGGTGACCATCTTTACCATTTGCGACTCCAATGAAGAATGCTAGAAGATCAGTAAGGAATTAAGACGATAGATGAAAGAGGCAGGTTTCTTTGAAACTGTGATCTACGCATAAATTAAGAAAAAGCCGTTCAGTGAGATTTTTAATTTACACACACAATGAAGGGTGTAGTTATTTTTCTGAATAGGTTGAAAATGCGCAAATTGGAAAAACGGTTAAACATGAAGTGTGACAGTCATGCAGCCTCCAGCTGAATAAGTCGCTCCAACGATGTCACTGTTTGGCACTTATTAAGAGTGGCATTTAATACTCCAATCACATCTTAGACTGCTATGGAGTGGCTACGTTTGGGAGAAGTTCTGCAGCTTCCGGCGTTTCACTCAGCTAAAGAGGATGCCTACTGTGTGGCCTTCATAACATCACATCGAGATCTTTCAAAAGAGCTCCTAACAAAGACCAGCGAATTGGTGTTTCGGCAAGCCGTAGTACATCGAGAAATCGGTGTGCGGCTCTCTGTCCTTTACCATTGGCAAGCCTGGTTCGTTCAGCACATGGATCTTTTAGAACTCTACAACTGGCTAATAGAGACGGAGTCTAGTATAATGACGGAATGCCATGCGGCTCGCGGACTTGCCTCGGCTTATGCTGCCATCAAGAAGCATTCAGTAATTGAAGCCATTGTCTCAGGATTTCAGGCACCCAGACTTCGACATCTAAGTAAGAATAGTTCATTAGTTTCACCAATTTATGCCATTAATCAGGACTCTCGCGAAAGGATTAACCATATATTTGTCTTGTTCGTGAATGCTCATGCTATTTATTGCATGCAAACTAAATATGAATGAGCTGCAAGGGAACAATGAAAAACTTGAAGTAGGCCTGGGATCGCGCGGGGGCGTGAAATTACAATTTATTTAAACAGATAGATTGTGCGGCCCTATTTGACGTTACAGCCCTCTCCACATGCCAACGGGAAACCACCTATGCATTTAGGTATAGTAGTTGTTTAATTTTTGTGAATCCAAGAAGGCATTGGATTCAAATCTAGAACTGAATATTTGGATTTTTATTCATTGTAAAACTCACTAAAACGAGGAGGCGAGGCCTTTTCGCTGTTAGTGGGTGATCGGCGACCAAGGCGCTGAAATTTGTAAACTTTATCGTTGTCCTTCTTCCTGGAATCCATATAGTTATCAGAGGCGCTAGAAAAGCGTATCCTGTCCAAATGAGTTAGACAGTCCGTACGAATACCATTACAAATAAACAGCTGGTTTCTTCAAGTACTTCAAGTTTGTGAGCATCGTCTCAGGAAACCATCCCTTTATGTCTCCACGCAAATCGTAAAACAGAAATCAAAACTTCTATTTTGGTTATATATAGGGCCTAAAAATAATTCCATTAAACTTGTTTGATTCTTGGCCAATGCTTTTTAACCGGTTTTATGCAAGCCATGTTCCACCAAGGGGCAGTTGTCCTATCGTTTAGTAATAAAAAGTTTCATCTTTATCCCTAATTAAGTCGGATATTTTACAGGCACTCGAACCACCGATCTGTTAGAAGCAACTATGACTATGATAGCGGCTAAGCAGAAGAAGTTGTCACATTACTTGGATCCTACCGACCCTTTCGTTACCACAGACAAAACACTCAAGGCAAAGGCACATCGGCATAAACTACGCCGACAAATCCACATCCTTGAAAGATCATATGATAAACTTCACTGCGCACAGGCCTCGGTACAGAAACAATTTACGGGTCTTCGTGATCTAGTGATGGAGAAAAAGCATCGATTGTACGAACTACTTGCTTTGAATAGACTCTACGAGGAAGTCAGCGATGTAGAGGTGATCTGTCTTTCTCAATGTATATCCATTTTCCCGTTTATGGCATCACTCTTTTTCATTATGTGCATGCTTTAGTTGCCATTGCCACATGCATGCTGTGCTCTGCCTGATGGAAATGAAATCAGTATAGCAAATAATTCTTAAGTTTCGCACCATTTTATGCCACCTGAGTGTGAATCTTCGTTTTCTCCAAGTTGGCGGCACCTTTTGCATTTGTCAAGTTGGTTCAGCAGATAGCGATGACATGGCATTAGCAGTTTTTAGAGAATCAGCGATCAAACTGAGCACATATTCCTAATTATAGGAATGGATCTGGGGCAGAATGAGAGAAACTCTGACCGACAACACGGGAAAAGATTTGTACGAGTGGACCCGCCTGCAACGCGACTTCTGTGACGTTCAGCGAAACCTAATTCGTGGCGGGGCCACAGATCAACTAGTACATGAGGGCTTGACCTCCGTGCCCAGATTACCTGCAGATTTTGCACTACTCAGTCAGTTGCCACCATTGTCCGATAGTCCGGAGCGTCTAGTTCGTGCTATTATGGTGTGTCGACAGTTGATCTCCTTGAAGCATTCCGATGCTCCTCTAATTGCTCAATGGCAAGACCGTCTAAATGAGGATTGGTGTGAGTTGAGAGAACTTCTGCAAACCCGAGGCGTATTGCTTAAAAATGCTGGAAATCGGCTGCTCTTCCTTCGTCGTTGTGAGGTGGGTTATTTTTATTCCAGGTGCCAATGTTAAGATCAGCGATGAGAGGCTAACGAAAGTTGTTTAGCTGGTTATCCCAATTACTGGTCACGGAGAAATGAATTGAAAATGGTGGAAATATTTGGTCCATGATGACTTAACTGTGACACAGTTCCGGTGTCTTAACTAAAGAAATTACATTTCAGGAGGCGATAGCCGATTTACGTGAAAAAATGGACAGTTTGCCTGCGATAGTGAGTGCCGATTCACAGGCCTTGGCACGTCAGCAACGCCAACACGCGAATATACGCCGGTCAGTGATTCCCATCGGTAAACGGGTAAGGTACCACCCATTTTTGTGTCTTCAGCTAAAAGACGGAAAAATGAGGTGATGAAATACTTTTTGAATGTTATAATTTTCTGGTAGGCCTTTGTTGTTACTGCCGCTTCCGCCCCGTAAAAAGGAAACTCTTTTTCAACTGGAGTTATAGCAGTTACAATTTACAATTTTTGAAATGATCCATCCAAATGACACCTTTTCACCATACTTAACCT